CCCCAAAAGGCCTCAGAGGTTATTTTCGGGCGTTTAAAACACAGAAATTTCGAACCCCTAGGGTATTGTTATCTCGATAGGTCCAAATTTCGCTCCCCACCTTCCTTGCGTCCTTCACTTTTGGACATATCTGGATCCGCCACTGGCACTGTTTTTGCATTTATCTTGAAACACACTTTGAAATACGGCTGTATACTGTCTTATCTGTTAATGCATTTGTTATCTAATTTCTGTTTCATTATTCTTATGTAAGCGTCGTTTAGTTATATGAAAACATGGATGCAACACATTTGTTTTGTGTGTGCAAATGGGGCTGGGGGCTATAGCCCTCTCGTCGGGAGAGCCTCCCCCCCCCACTACATCCCGTCGGGGAATAACAAGAATTAAACAAAATATATATTTGTTTGTTCGTTTAATTTGTGTACTGTTTGTGTTAACTTTTCATCACAATAATACTCTAACAAAAACAATAATGCGGTAATAATAATAATAATGATAATAATATTAATGATATAATACAAATAAATTCACGTGCCGTTTTATTGCAAGTTATCCGACTACCGTATATATTTCACATTGAATTAAACCCAACAACAGGTAATCTTCTTCATAATGAATTAATTACGTTCAAACATCTATTGGATGTCAGCAGAACAGTGTCAAGTGTCAAAACAGCGTTTTGACACTATTTTTTAAATGTCAGTGCATCTTAATGTTATGTATTGAAATAAAAAAAAATGCCCCTCTCCCCGTTTGAAAAAAATCTGGATCCTCCTCTGTTTAATGAGACTAATAAAAATAGGTTTACGTTCTACTATGACAAATGATCGTTTGGATATCCTCATGATGCTTGAAATACATCTTGATCGGGGAAGCAACCTCGTGGTTTACAGATTTCAGGCAAAGTTTCCAAAATTTATAGCTTCACTGTGAATTAAAAGCTTGTACTGTGGCGTTCCCGGTGACATTGTTTTTTCTTAATTTATCGTAGTATAATGTGACAAATTGGTGGCCTTACTATTTAAAGTAAGACATTATTACTGTATTCGTAATTTGTTTGATTATGAAAAACCCGGACTTCGCCAGGATTGGAGGATAGTATTGTAATGTAATACGGTGGGTTTTTTTTTAATAATTTAAAATGTAAAACGGATTTGTTTGTTGGTTCCATTGCATACTCTTTGTTTTTCGTTGTTTTATTCACAAATTTTCGATTTTGGAAGTTAATTTGGACATTAAAAAACATACATGATGTCAACGGTAGCTTTGATGTCAAATAACTAATAAAAATTCACCAAAATTCGTCAAATATCCGTAGCTTCCAGGGGGCGAAGCCCTAAACCTCCACCGGTGGCCCTTCAGTGGCTTCCCCCAGCCAAGTGATACTCGCTTCGCTCGCCTATCCACCCCCTCCCGTGTCGGGGCCTTTAGCCCCCTTTCGGGCAGATCCTGGCGCCATCACTGAATAAATACTAACCAAGTGTAACAAAGTTAAATTAAAAAGAAAGATTTAGATTTGGCTTCGAATCGTAATATAGGCCTACTTTGTGTATCTGATCCACACGATCACGCGCGGGCAGGTCGAGCAAAACAATACTATGTCTATGAAAAATGTCAATCTATATTATAAATTGAGAGAGGCCTTAATGTTTGTGCCGATTTGCCGACCAAACGGGTGCACAGCTCTGGAAGAAATAAATCGTAGCACCATTATTTTAAATGTCATATTATTACTGGAATATTTTGAGCTATTTATGTCTATTAAAATTTAAAAAAAAAAACAGTTTTATAATATTAACACGAGTCTACAAAATATTAGACGAGGATTTGTCGCGCAACAAAAGCAACATATGTGAGAATTCATTATTCAAATTACGTTCTGAAACTTTGTCTACACTATCAAATTTAATTTAAAAAAAAGCGTCACATAAAATTTGAAGGGACATAGAGTTGAACACGTTAAACTTTTTTTTTATACAATTTTATGATATGTGTTATGACGTCATCGTACCCATATATGGGCACATCACATTTTTTTTTGTCACATAACATTTGTGATAGTGTAGACAAAGCTTTACAGTGCGAAGAAAAAAACAGCGGAGTATTCATATATATTATAATATAAATGTGTGGTAGGTAGTGGAACGTTCCACTTCAGTGAGTACTGCTGATACAAATATTGCGGCAATAATAATAAAATATATTATAAATTGACTATGTACGTTAATCATTAAAATAAGTAAATATGACAATTAAGGAATGTCTACAGTCTACATCAATCACAATACTTTAGCATGTATCGTATAATGTATTTGTTACTATTACTTACCAGTCGGCACGGTAGCATTAAACAATTACTAATGACTCATGTTCTTAATTTAAAAACTAGGGCTAATTTTAATTTGATTTGCAAAGGTCTTCCTAAAATTATGGATAAAGGCGATGCCGTATTTAATATTATGCTTCAGAATATTCTGTTATGGCAATCAAAGGCGTCGATCAGTGGTTGAAAGGTGGTGGGGGAGGGGGTGGGGTATAACGAAATTTAAAATTAGAAGCTTTGGGCCCAAGCCTTGGTTGAGATGAAGGGGCGGCATAGGTCACCGGTGGGGTCCAGGAGGCGAGGCCCCCGGAAGTTCTGTTACCTAACCCCGATATTCCAGCCCCGGCCCGCGGGCAAACCCAGGCCCGAGATTTTGATCCTGGTGGCCGGGATTGTGAGTGGAAATACTATTGTCTAATTCACGATCAAACATAAAGGTTATTTACTTTTTATAGTTATCAGTGGCGGAACCAGGAAAGCGAAATAGAGGGAATCATGGAAAGACAGTTTCACAGAAAACTAGACCACTTCAGCCCCACCATAAATGGGGCTGAGGTAAAAAAATTAATGATTATGACACCTCTACATGGCCGGAATGGCACTCTTAGACCTAAATTCTAATTATACTTTTCCATTTTTTTACTTTGGCCGACTGGCCCTCACAGAATGATTATTTTCTGGGCGGATCCATAGGATGCGATTGGTAAACGACGTCGGTCCTCCCACAGCAGGGGCGGATTTAGGACAGAGCCCCCTCCCCCGTTTTTGGAAAGTAAGGAAAAGGGGGAAAAAGAAAGAAAATGAAAATATTGATCGCCCAAAATACCTCAGAGGTTATTTTCGGGCGTCTAGAAAAAAAAAATATCTTGAACGGCGCCTCTTTCGCTCCCCCCACCCCTTTTCGGGACATCTCTGGATCCGCCCCTGTAGAGTGCTTTTTAGCTGGTAAAAAAGTGTGATCAGCAGTTTTTTTTTTACTTCTGTAGGGGTAGAGGAGGGTTATTCATGAGAATAATGTTCAGGCTAATGACAGACCTGGTTTGATCGGTAGTGAGCCTGTTAATTTTGCCGTGTTCACAGTAGCTGTCTGGGCTGAGTTGTCAACTTTGATGGTTACACTATATCGACCATCTCCCGATATGTCTAGGAAGTAGCCTGAATATACTCCGTCATCTTTGGTGATGTCGGCGCTGGCTCCGTTATCAAGAAGTTTCAATTCCATGGGAGTATTCGACGGACCGTCAATGATTGCAGTCACGTGTGCGTTGATCACGGGTAAATAGCTTTGTGTGACCATTGCATAAATGATGGGGTTTGGGTTTCCTGTGTAGTTTACGGATGGATCGCCAACAATTGCGACAACTTCTATTGGTTCTTCTTCAGATGATTTCTTAGACTGGACACTTACAGTAACAATATCTGAATAATAATATGTATTTGTCACGTTGAACTCCCACTGTCCTATCTGAATTAAAATGAAACATAGCTTTCTGCATAATATTATTTTCTTATCAAATGGTGATCGATCCAAATTTACATTATATTGTTACAGTGTGTCTGTATACTATACCATTCATCGATATTTTTTTTAAAGTAGAACAGATATAAAACTGTATATATAAAACCAATTATAAAAAGGAAAATAATAATAATAATAGTAATAATAATAATAATAATAATTATTATTAATATTAATATTAATATTAATATTATTATTATTATTATATAATAATGCAATAAACTGTTATTATTAGTAATATCATTAGCATTACTAGGCCTAAAAACTTGTTTGTTTGCCGTCATTCGCCTCCTCCAAAAACCCAAAAAATGGGGGTGGGTTACTTTTATCTTAATTCTTGAAATATATAATAAAATATATCGCAGTTGTCAGCAAAAAAGCCGGCAGTCGCGACATGTTTCCAATGATTTTACATCTGGTTAAAAAAAATAAAATGACAGCAAACACGTTTTTTAAGGCCCCTTCATTATTACAGTACTGTCATCATTACTATGATCATTGTTATCTCTATCATCATTACTATCATCATTACTATCTTTATCATCATTATCTTTATTAGCGTTATTATTTTTTTAATTTCATCATCATTACTACGATCAATATGTTTATTATCATTACTATCAACATTACTATCTTTATCATCATTATCTTTATCATTATTATCGTTATCATCAATATCTTTATCAAAATTACTTATATTATATTTTCATTATCATTATCTTTATCATTATTATCTTAATCATCATCATTTTTATCATTATCATCTTTATCATCATCATTATCATTATCAATAGTATTATTTTTTATTAGGCCCTATTATTATTATTAATTATTATTATTATTATTATTATTATTATTATTATTCTATTAGCTTAATTAATATTAATATTTATGATATTATTATTATCAGTATCATTATTAGTATTGGCGTGAACAATGCAACTTGAAAGTTTAAAAATGTGTTATATTTCACTCTTACCATTGCTTTACCGGGTATTCCGATTGTTATAGTATTCGATGCATAATCAGTGTTGTACAATGTCTGATTAACCAGTTGTCCAGTAGGTGATTTCAAAAATACCTTAATACCAGAGTTGAGCCATGAGAAACTGAAGACCGTCTCGAGCCCGACAGACGAGTCGATATAGACACTGTCAGTGACGGTGCTATATGATTTTATCTCTAGGCCATCACTGTAAAGCTAATTTTTTAGATAAACAATTACAAAATTTGTTGAATTTAGTAAATGTCATAAAAATCATTAAAATAAAAGCTTGTAGGTATTACGCGTACACGTTGTTTGCAACATATTTATTGAAATATCGCTTTTCGTCGTCGCGCAATGGCCGCGATTATTTTTTTCCTTCGAAAAATTTGCACGGAACTGACTCAACTCGAAAATCTCATATTTCAGAATTCAGGAGGTAAAAATGTCATCAACTAAAGATAAACGTCTACAAAACCCCTGAGACTCCGTTACCATGCTAATAACTAATGAACCGTTTAAAATGACAAAAGTAATCGAGTTGTACGAGTAATCAAAAGTGTTATTTGAACTTGAGTTACATACTAATGAGCATTTTTATTTGTTAGTTAGACCTAGGTTTTGAAAAAAATTAATTACCTAGGCCTAGAACTATTAAAATTATATATAATAGGCATGAGTTTGGATTGGTCATGTACTAAGAAAATATTACTCAAAACAGTTTTGGAAGGCCGCTTTCAGAGGAAAGCACAAAGATAAAAAGGGAAAAGACCAGCATTTTTATTTATAAAGTGAAAAGCTGAGAGTAGCAGCGCCACCAGGACAATCACAAGCGTAAACAAAGTAAATTTTTCCACGAAGTAGTCTGCTTTTGTCTTTACAATGCCCAAATGACCTTCATGAGCTATGCAAACCTTTCTGTACCTTTTCTGGCATGACAATTCGGCGTCCACGTAGCACCAGTTTTCCATTGCCACAAATGGCTAATTCGTGTTTCACTTTTTCACAGTGGATGTAGAACTGTGAGTTGACTTATGGGTTTGTAATGTCCGCGATACCATTTCCAGCTTTTATTGCTTGCATAACAGCTTTCAGCGTTTCATCTTCTTCTGTCGCTAATTCTATTTCCTCCTAAGATGAGGGGTGGATGTGGCTGTTATGTAGTTTATGTACGTATTCTTTAGCTATTTTCTCCTCTCTGCTAGTGTTAATCTGGGCCTTGTACGGGTGTCTATATATGCAATCATCTGGGTTATCTAGTCCAGAACGATTAATGACCTTAGCGTCACAAGTCTCATGGCTCATCGTTAAAGTGTTAGAGGAGGAGTATATAGTTTGGATTCCCATAGATAGATAGATATTATTGACTTATGATCGGTAATGATGGTGATTGGTTTGCCATATACTTATATGTGAAAATGTTCACAAGACCAAATAACTGTAAGACCTTCTCAGTCTGTCTGTGAATATCTCTGCTCAACTTGCAAGAGGGCTCTGCTTGCATATGCTGCAATATGGTGAGTTTGAGGATCAGCTGGGTCTACTTGCATTAGTAGGGCTCCAACTGGGCTGGCATCAACGTGTAGTTGTGTATCATAGTGTGAATTAAAATATATTAGAGCAGGTGCATTTACCAGCGCAACTTGTAGAGTAACTAGGGTTTGATTATGCCTGTCAGTCCATTTCCACTCCTTTTTCGCGTTAAGCTGGACACTCACTGCGTCGTCGACGGTTGTACGACCGCCGCACGATGAATCAACATTTGCTTCCGGCGAGCGATAGACGACGCAACGCCGTCTTCTGATTGTCAGTGGCAATCTGAACGAATCCTAATTAAAAAGACGATCCGTTGGGTCCGCGTCTTTGCGCGCGTTCTTCGTTGCGTTGCCGTCGCGTCGCGTCGCACGCAGTGAGTAACCGGCTTTAGTTTGCAAAGTGGTTGAGAGATTAGTGTATTCTGGGATAAAGCGTGAACCGCAGTAGCTTGTCATTCCCAATAAACTTTGTGGTTTGTCCATCTCAACAACAGCTTGATTTTTTTTGGATCAGGAGCAAGTAATTCTTTAGAGAAGATGTGAGCAAAGAATTCGAGGGTGTGTTTGTCGTATGCACATTTTTCAGAGTTCAATGTAAGTTCCTTTTCACGAAGGCGTTGGAAGACAATATGGCATTCTGAAAGATTTCTGCTACACTATTAATTCTAAAGTTGAGGCGTTTATATCGACGAAGTCCCATGTGTGTTGAAAAACATGTATCAATATTCTGGTCCTAGTTCTATCTGGTTATATCCTTGATTCAGATCCAACTTACTGAAAACTGTAGCTCCGTTTAGCTCATGTATAATTTCACTAATGGTTGGAGTTATGTGTCTTTTAATAGCGGTGTTTGGTTGCCGCATATCAACACACACTTTAACTTTTTCTGGTGTTTTCTTGGGTACTAAAACAACTGGCGATACCCACGGTATTGGTCCATCTATTTTATCAATGATTCCTAGTTCTTCATCATGTGCCAATTATTCCTCATGATATTTCCCTACATGAAATTGAACTCTGTGAATGCCTTGAGCTACTGGGATCACTGTCTCATCAATTCAATATGAAGATGTACCTGATAGTTCTTGAGTCTCCCAACACCACAAAATATGTCACTGAATTCGTTTATTAACTTGTCTGTAAAGTTCTCTATTATGTTTACACTACAAGTAGGTTGGATTAAATTCAGTTGTCCTTTCAAACTAAGGAGCGATTCACTAGAAAATTTGACAACATAAAATGTTTTATAAAAGTTTGTTTCATGCGTTAGTAGTCCTTTTCATCGATAATGTTGATACCAGAGCCAGAATCTGCCATCATGAGGATGCTGTCACTCTCAATTTGGACTGTGAAGTGCGGTAGTTTTTTGAGTTTTTGAATATAAATAATTATACTTAGTATATATTGCCACATGTTCCACACATTTGTCCTCTTGCCTGACAGGTATTTTTCCCTATGTGAGGCCAATGTCCACCAAATTTCGGAATTTGGAATTACTTTGAGTATTAAGAGGGTTTCGCTGTACAGTTCGCTTTCCACTGTATTCAGTTTTTCTTGACTCCACTTCGGAATGTCTGAAAGATCGGTATCATTCGAGAAAGAAACACGTCGTTACCAGCCATGGTTTGAAGCTTGATTAGTTTTAACGATCGCTAATATACTCACAATATCTGTACAATCCGTTCTGAGGATGCTTTGTAGCAGTACTGTAGCATTCGTCGCCAATATTATGTTCTTTGGTAATTACTATGTTGTGTAAAACAGAGTAACAAGAACATGCTTGAGTTCATTGAACGATTTGTTACTGAACTATTTCATTCTCTTCTCTACTCCAGAGGGCGCTAGGGATGTTAGCTTATAATCGTAACCACAATCGTGTCGTCACAACGCCAGGTAGCGCCCTCTGTTGCCAACCAGACGTTGGTTACCGTTCATTACACCTGAACGACTTCATAGGTTTTCTGGAATAGGCATTTTAAAATCTAATATTTTATTTTAAAAATGTACTAAAAACACAAAAGCTTGCATTATATTAGTTATCGAAAATACATTTATTTATCAATTAAAATTTACAAAGTCAAACTAAGATACAACATCTTAATAATTATGTTAGAAATTGTGATCAATGGTTTGTCAGTGGAGAAAATGGCGTTCCGTTGAACTCTTTTTGCAACGATAGCAACGGAGTAGTATCACGTGGTATCGCGACGTAACACTATAGTACTCTATACTGTGTGGTTTGAACATCACAATAGATATAATGACGTCAACACACTTTCTATACGAAAAATATACATACCAACGTGTGGCGAAACCTTCCTAATAAGCAGGTCATGTGTGATGAACAAAACTGCAGCATACCCTCAAGACAATTATAATGGCATCGGCTGTCGTATTCAGGTACATTTATTATTAAAGTGCTGAGGTTTCTTAATTTACTTATGGTCGATGGTAGGCCTAAATAATTGAATTTCCTAGACATTGAATTTGCCCTTTAAATTATTTTGACAAATTTATTAAGTCTTTTTTCGAATATTATGTAACATTCCGCTTTATTTTATGATAATCCATTCTTTAGTTTTTGCGTAATCTTGCTAAAAGCCATACATACAGACAGAGAGATGGACAGCACGACGAAGAGACAAAAGGCAGTTAATACTTAACCCTTTTTGGCGGAGGTAATCAACAGCACTGTAGTTATGTATGTGTTAATGAACGAAGATGAAGCAATAACCATAAAAGAAACATATAAATTGTATAATAAAACAATGGTTATGAATAGACAAATATTTAAACTCACTATTATTGGAAGGTCCTGTGAACTTAGATCTGGTCTACTCGTGACGGTGGCGGTAAATGCGTTGTTGAGGACCGATATATCATCGTTACCGTCGAAATAATAAGGTATTCCACCAGAAATATCACTAAGATCTTCAAGGTCACTGTCAGCATAGTTAGTAAATGCAATTGTATCAATGATAACTCCAGCGTCTTTGACGTCATCCAGAATACCACTGATGCCATATTGGTCATGATTTATCCCATCGCTAATTACAAGAAGGTAGCTTCCAGCTGGATCTTCTCCATCACGTGATAACACCTTTAATAGATTGCAGTTAATCGTCAAATTAAGCCATGTACAGACTATCACATAACATCATGACCATATTAGACGCATCATAGCTATATTGGCATACAACAGTTTATTTGTCAAAGAAAATTTGACAGGAATGTGAACAGAACGTCATACAAATTCTTAATTCACACATTTTCAAATTATTAACTCAGCCTATCTAGGTCATTTTGACATACAAGCGCTATACACAGCATAGGTTTATATCACTTGGCATTTTATACGGGCATGTACAGTTTAAACTACGAATTTACTTATGATAGCTGGTTATCTGATCAAGGTGCTTACATCAATTGCCAATAAAACACCGTACTCTATGGCGGTCCCTCCATTCGCGGACATTGGTAATTTTGCTACTAGTCTATTTCGTGACACTTCATTAAATATTAAGACCAGTTCAGATAAGACGCTGGCGGAAGATGAAAATTCAACTATGCCGACGTAACTGCCCTTGTCAATGGTGTATAGCAAGTAGTGTCTTGAAGCTTGATAAAGTTGCAGAATACGATCGCCCTAGGATTAAATAAATAAGTTTATCACATTGATTTAGCATAGTTATCAAAAATCAAAATAAGCAGGAACACATCATATACTTTAGAACTTTAATGCTGTGCCCTATTAATTTCTATTCGTTCACTGTCGATATTACAAGTTTGTAAATCTTTCCTAATAAAAGTCAGTAAACGTTAAACTTAATTCAAACTTAACCTAAACTTGTGTGGCAAAATAAGGGAATAGTACAGTAATAGTAAAGATTACTCCGGTAGGAATTGCTTTACTTTGTTTAACACACCAATATTTTAGAGCACCCCTTATGATTTCTGTTAATATGCTGTTTCCAAGTAAGAATTTCTATCTAAAATTACACCAAGAAACAATGTCTATTGTACACCGGTTAATTCACAACCATCTAAAAAATTGCAACGAATTAAATTTATATTTTTGGTTTGGTGCAGTGTTCCCAGCAATATAAGATTTGTTTTATCTGTATTGAGAGAAATTTGTTACATTTAAACATTTCGGAAAGCTTATTATTCATTACTTTGAAAATGTTATCAATATTACAATCCGAATAGAAAACAGTTGTGTCATCAGCAAATAATATAAATGAGAGTAATTTAGAGGTATTATATCATTCTTGTATACAATGAACAATAAGGGCCTTAATATTGAACCGTTTTGGACTCCATACTTAACGCTTTCTTTTAATGAATTTACATGATTTTATGACACGTACTGCTTTTTTTTAACTAAATAATTGTGAAAACAAATCTAGCAAAATGCTGTGATCGATCGTATCGTAAGCCTTCAATAAATCCATTAAAATGTATATAGTATAATGTCATTCTTTTTTGCTTTAGGTACGTTACTTACGAAACCGATTATAGCCATATGCGTAGCATGATTCCTCCTGAATAATGTTTCCTAAAAAAACCTTCCTGAAAATGTATTATCACTATGATTAAACGGTATTGGTAGGGAGTCATTACATTTTAGACAGTGTCAACATTTAGAATTAACTCTTTTTCTGAATTCTTTAACGGTCAAATTGGATCAAGATTTATGAACATATTTGTGGCAAATTGTACATTTTATGTGATTTTTTTTTACTTGTTTAAGACATATGCTGCATTGGAGATACATTGAATACCAAGATAAATAAGTAAAAAAACATGAAAATAATTGAAACAATAAAAAAAAAAATCTGTTCGGAGAAAAAAAAACGAAACCGAAAAGTACTTAAATGTTGCCAGAATAATTTCAAGTGCCAAATGACTTTCAAAGTTTCAAATAATGATAGGGTAAGCATAGCAGGGGGCGAATCCTTATCACTAAAATACGAATAATGCTTTTTAACCTTGTTTATCTCGTCATTCTTTATCATCTAATTTCCCGTTTTATTTCCCATAACGACCATTTTTTCTTGGTAGCTTCAAATAATGTTTACAAAAAATGGCGCATGCGAGAATGCTCACCACACTAAAGTAATAATAATTAAACTAATATTTTCTTTCTTTTTGAATTTTTTTCTAACCTTGTTTATTACGCCAATTCGAAGCAAAACAAAAAAAAATCAATATGACGCACATCTTATATGTACAGATATTTCACTTTATCATGATATTTGTTTCTTTCTCAGATCAGAACGAGTAAGGTCATCCACCATATGGAAACTACTCCCAAATAAAAAAAAAATCTCATTATATTTCTCATAACGGCCATTTTTTTCTTGGTAGCTTCAAGGAATTTTACAGGAATATGGAGCAGGTGGGAATGCTTACCAAACTAAACTAACATGTTTCTTTTTTTTCTTTTAGTAATAAGAAAGAGCCGCGTTAATGGATAAATTTTAAAATGATGTCAAATCTTCGATTGAGAATAAAGAATTTGATTAACTAGAACTTTCAACTTTCAACATTATTGGTCCTTACGGAAAAATATTTTTGAGGGATTTCTCATAGCATACATATTTAAATACCAAAAGAATATACAGTATTAGTTTAAAACACTGATAAAAAACTTGTTTAAAATATTTAAAACTTATTTCATTTTAAAACCATTGAAATATTAATACATAATAAAAAGTATCACCTAATTACATCATTTAAAAGTCGAAAGGAATATGGAACAAATGATTTAAAATACCTAGCAACTTGCTAGGAATTTAACAGCAACTTGCTAGGTAATTAACATTTAGTTTCAGTCAAACTCAATTCTAGTTTAAAGTGGTATGACCACCACGATATTCGTTAACAAGTTTTTTTACAGGTAGAATTTCTTTTTTATTATCATTGTTTTTGTTTTTTTAATGAGCGCATTTCTTGCTACGGGTTTTGCTTAATCCATCTAACGGTGTTCCAAAGTTAGTGGGGAATCAATAAATAAATCGAAAACAATGCATTCCCTCCTCTCTAGTCAGAATAACCAAGAACTATGTCAACCATTAACACATTAAAATGTTTTACGGTATGCAAGATTTCAGCTCTAAAAGATATTTTTCTTTAAGTTTTGCAGACAGGAATAATAAAATGCATACCAAGTTACTTCTTATATTGACAGTCTGTTACTGCATAAATACATATTACTATTAAAAGCAATTAGCACTCTAAATAGATTAACCATAAACGTAAGAGAATTGATCTTTAAGAGATCGAAATCGCTTTAGATCGCAAACGCTGGAGGGAGGCCCATAGGGGCGTTAAGAATAACCCAGTCAATAAGAACCAAGTAGTAGATTGCACACGCCCCAAACTTATTTCATTTTAAAACCATTGAAATATTAATACATAATAAAAAGTATCACCTAATTACATCATTTAAAAGTCGAAAGGAATATGGAACAAATGATTTAAAATACCTAGCAACTTGCTAGGAATTTAACAGCAACTTGCTAGGTAATTAACATTTAGTTTCAGTCAAACTCAATTCTAGTTTAAAATGGTATGACCACCACGATATTCGTTAACAAGTTTTTTTACAGGTAGAATTAATTTTTTATTATAATTGTTTTTTTTTTAAATAAGCGCATTTCTTGCTACGGGTTTTGCTTAATCCATCTAACGGTGTTCCAAAGTTAGTGGGGAATCAATAAATAAATCGAAAACAATGCATTCCCTCCTCTCTAGTCAGAATAACCAAGAACTATGTCAAACATTAACACATTAAAATGTTTTACGGTATGCAAGATTTCAGCTCTAAAAGATAATTTTCTTTAAGTTTTGCAGACAGGAATAATAAAATGCATACCAAGTTACTTCTTATATTGACAGTCTGTTACTGCATAAATACATATTACTATTAAAATCAATTAGCACTCTAAATAGATTAACCATGGATAAACGTAAGAGAATAGATCTTTAAGAGATCGAAATCGCTTTAGATCGCAAACGCTGGAGGGAGGCCCATAGGGGCGTTAAGAATAACCCAGTCAATAAGAACCAAGTAGTAGATTGCACACCGCCCACCCCCCACATCATGGGTATGCAGCGAAAGAAAAAGTATATAAATTAAATATCACCCTCATATTTCCTGATGACTTCTCTTCACAGGAAAATGCACTGCATACCAAATTGCTTCTACTATTACTGCATTAAGTATATTAATTTAAAGTATAACTTTCAAATAAAATCATGAATGTACGTAAAGCACATTACCGACATACTCCCCGACGTATCTAATACCAACACCACCCGTCTGTCGGTCGGTTGGACAATACGAAAAGTTGGTGTTGTATCTACATCTCCTTGAAGTGGTGGGTTGTTGCCATTTTTAAAGTCGGCTGATTCCAGCATGACGTCCCATGAACTTTTATAGTTGCACAGAGTGTTGTGTTTGTGTGGAGCTTCAACGTCGTGATAACCCGGTGGATCGCTGGGATCACTATGGCAAAATGTATTGACCTTCAATAAAAAGTAGGTAAGAAAACCAAATTAATTATCAAGAAATGACGAAGGTACATCAAGTCAAGAAAATATATTTTTATTTGAATATCTTGGGGAATGCATTACCACAAATTCGTACACTCTTATTAAGTACCACTGGCTACACCATAAAATGAACCCGTAAGGGCCAATGACACCACAAAACACAACATGGTAAGTTATATATATTATATCCCATGCGGGAGAGTGCATTATCAGAAATTAAAAACCGTAAGAGCAAAATATAGGCTTAGAAATACAGAGATAGCCGTGTGTCTCTTACGAACTTTTCGCGCTATCACGGTATTAACATATATTGATCTGTAGCACAGTGTTTGGAAATTGTGAACTTTTCATTTTTGAAATTAGCTATCTTTAATGCTAATAAAGCAACCCTACTCAATAAAAGGTCAACGCTGGTATTAAAGTGCAGGCTTAGAAAATTACTACCTTATTTACCTAATATAATATCCGGAATAGAAATTATCATCGAGGACCCATTGAAAATGTTATAAAAAAGCAAAGGACATACCTCGTGCTCAAACACTGACGTACAAACCACGTCAATGATCGACCAGAGTGCCAATGGTCACTACGTATCACCCTAGGTTACCCCACAAAGGGCTATAATTCAGAAACATATGCCCATTCTACAGACCACAGAACATCTTTGGTCTGTTTTTCCAGATACACCGTTCATAGCCTATCGCAGACCACCTAACCTTCGTGATATATTAGTACTGTACGATCTAAATTCAAGAGGCAAACTAACTCTTGCGACAACCGTAATTTGGGTAGTCATCTTTGTGGTTCATCATGCAAAACATGCTCCTTGTTTGATTCTACACAATCATTCAAGAGCAACCAAACTTTAGAGCATAATTAAACAAATCAGAAGTTAGTAGCAATGTTATAGCATACCTGAAAACCTCATGATTAGCTATGAAAATAGGTTTTACTTACCCATGGGACCCCATATAGATGTACTTCTTGATTCTTGATTGAGCAAGTAATCTGGTGTTAAATGAATGTACTCTCCCTTTTCTCCACATTTTCCAAGTTGTTTTGTGTACGGGTTGTCTTCCCATCTAGGATTGGGTATATCGACTATAATATTAGCCCTATCGAAACTCTCTGTATTGACAACTTCGTACTCTGGTCTATGTTCCCACGATTTCGGGACCAAAATTGTAATGCTTTTCCAATAAGCACGACTGTCTGTGGCTTCAAATAGTCTCGAAGATCCACTGGTAAATATTTCCTTTCAGAAAATATACATTTACATTATATTAATATGAACGCATATGAGAGAGGTTTATTGTTTAGTCAATATCAGGTACCCAGTGATACAAATATGGCGTATGTTATTCATTGCGTACGTACAAAAAGAAGGATTTTCCGTATAAGTATAACATATACATATTTTAATACTCGGATGAAAATACTTCCATTCTTCAACTACAACTACTTCTACAGTATTAAGTGGGATATTTGTTTGCGAGATGTGTATAAGAGACAGGGCAAGGGTGTGTACTGATAACCTACCGTATCGATAAATTGTCCGTACATGATTGAAGCTGTTGCCTTTTGTCCAGTTGTGTCTGGGTAGAAGACACACTCACTTTGATAAACACCCGTAGCCGGGTCCAGATAGCATTCCTTTTGGGTATTTATATTCACATATTCTCCTTTGATCGCAAGAGAACACTTTGTTGCTTCAACGTTTTGATTTGAATGTGCATAGAATGCTGCTGATCCGTCAGTCGAATATTCGTCGAATAGGCCCCATTGGAGATGACCCCATTCGTGAACCAACAATTTGTCTTAAATTAAAAAAAAGTCGAATATGTAAACCATTCAGTAGTTCTAGTATTGACCATTATTCTTAGTAATGGTAGGCCTATTATTATTATTATTATTATTATTATTATTATTATTATTATTATTATTATTATTATCGTTATTATTATTATTATTATTATTATTATTATCATTATCGTTATTATTATCATTATTATTATCATTATCGCTATCACCATGTGGAGCCCTTACAGGGACATATTAAAAACAAATACTTTAAAAAATATCCGTTCCCATAAATTAATATTTCGTTCCCTTGAAATTTTATTTCGAGGAACGAATTATTGTATTAGGGCAACACATTTTTAATTAGAGGAAACAAAATAATTTAGTAGTGGAAGTAGTAGTGGTGGTAGTAGTATTTAGTAGTAGTAGTGGTGGTAATATAGAAATAATAATAATATAGAAATTTATATAGCGCCTTTTGCCAAAGGATACAAGGCGCTTAGAAAAAGTTTATTGTAGGAAGAGGATTATTTAGGAAATAAGTGAGCTTTTAAGAGTTTTTTTAAGACTTCAGTACTACAAGCATTTCGGATAGAAATAGGAAGATTATTCCACAGTTTTGGAGCAGAGGAAGAGAAAGATTGATCACCAGCAAGTTTGTTGGATTTGGGAACAGATAGACTAGACAGGAACCGGAAACAGAACGGAGAGAATAGGTAGAGGTTAAGAAATTCAACAGGCAGGAGATATAACTACGATTGGAGGACTGCAGTGTATTAAATGTCAGAACTCTCAGGATTCTCTGTGACACTGGAAGCCAGTGGAGATGATTAGGAAGAGGAGTGATATGACAATATTTGGGTCTGCAACATACAAGGCGAGCACACTTATTTTGAAGTTTCTGAATACGACTTCAATTATATTTACTGATACCATAGAGTAGTGAATTACAGTAGTCAAGCCTGGAGAGTAATAGGGCACGAACAACATTATGACAGGTTTCAAAATCAAGAAATTTGCGGATGCGGGACAAACAACGAATCTGCCAATTTATGGACCGAGAAAGGTTTGTTATATGAGCAGTCATATTCATTTCATGGTCGAAAACAACCCCAAGATTTCTGATAGTTGGTGAGTGTCTAATAATGTGACCGTCAAAATGGAAAACAAGATTTTCAAGGATTTTATAGTGATAATTTGAAGAAGCAATGAAGAATTCAGTTTT